TTTCCAATAATCACAATATCATCTACATAAACCACCAATAGAACATATCAAACATCTGTCTATATATGAAACACAGAATGATCTGTTTGATATCGAAGAAGACCAAACTCTAAAACTGCATCTGAAAACTTATCAAACCATGCCTTCAGTGACTGCTTCAAACTATACAAAGATTTCTTTAACCGACATACACTCTTACCATACTCCCCCTAAGCAGTAAACCCAGGTGACTGCTCCATGTATACCTCTTCAACCAAGTCACCATGTAGGAAGGTATTCTTGACGTCTAACTGAAACAAGGGTCAATCAAGATTAACAACCAAAGAAATTAAGATACAAACTGAGAAAATTTTGATAACATGAGAGAAAGTCTCCTCATAATCAACACCATAAGTCTAAGTAAAGCCCTTTACAATAGGTCGGGCTTTGATAGGCTCCACAGAACCATCCGGATGATATTTAACAGCATACACCCAACGACAACTAACAGTTTGTTTAGCAGAAGGTAAAGGAATGAGATCCCAAGTCACGTTATGATGTAAGACATTCATCTCCTCCTCCATAACTTTCCTCCAATCCGGATCAGATAATGCATTCTGTAAATGCTTAGAAAAATATATAGTAGATAATTTGAAAATAAAACAAGACAAAACAAGAGACAAAACATCATATGAAACAAAATGAGAAATGAGATGATTAGTAACACACAAACGAGTACCTATTCGAAGAACAATAGGTAAAGAGTCTAAATTACCTGATGTACCAGGATCAGAAGGCGGCAAAGAAGACGGTACGGGCACCTCCGGCAATGGGCGAAGACAACGAGAGTAGACATGGAAAGGTAAAGTAGATGGTAACACAATAGGCAACGGAATATCTGAAGATTAGGAAAGAGATGGTGGTACAGGAGATGACCCAAAGTCCAAATTCAAAGGCTGAAAAGGTGCTGAAAAATATGAAACAGATTCCTCAAACGTGACATCGACACTAGTAAAGTATCAGCGCAGAGAAGGACTGTAGCAACGATACCCCTTCTGCGTGCGGGAGTAACCAAGAAATACACATTTGATAGCTCGAGGGTCAAGTTTATCAGACCTAAGACCCAAATTGTGAACATAACAGACACATCCAAAAACCTTAGGAGTAAGGAAAAATAAGGGCTTACCAGGAAAAAGAACAGAATATGGACTTTGTCCATTTAACACAGAGGATGACATACGATTAATAAGGTGACAAGTAGTAAGAATAACATCACTCCAAAAATATCGAAGAATATTCATCTAGAATAATAGGGCACGAGTGACTTTCAACGAATGACGATTCTTGCGTTCAGCAACACCATTCTGTGAAGAGGTGTAAACACAAAAAGTCTGATGAATAATGTCAGTTTTACTGAGATAAACTGAAAAATGATCAGATTCATATTCCCGAGCATTATCGAAACGTAAAGTACGTATACGACAACCATACTGAGTTTTTATTTCCTTATAAAATGTCTCAAATATAAAGAATAATTCAAACCGATGCTTTCATCAAAAACAACCAAGTCACACGAGAATAGTCATCCACAAATGTCACAAAATAAAGATATTTTTTAAATGAAATATTCTTTATTGGACCCCATACATCAGAATGTACTAACTCAATTGAACTAGACACATGGTGATACTTACTAAGTTGACAAGTTTCACAAGACAAAAATGACACATAACTAAGACAAGAAACTTGACGTTTCAGATTCTGGAGAGAAGGATGTCTAAGACGACAATGTCATTGAAAATGAAACAACGAGGTCTGTAGAGCCTGGGTAGGTGAATTAAAGTCAAGGTAATATAGGCCATCAACTTCATGCCCTATACCAATCTTCCTTTTTGCCTTGAGATCCTAAAAGACATAATAAGAGCGATAAAAGGTTACGGAACAATTCAGAAAATGGGTAATCTTACTAATAGAAAGTAAACTAAAAGGAAACTGAGGAATAAATAACACGGAAGATAGAGACATATCAGGACTCAAGTGAGCAGTCCCTAGACCTGAAATTTTAGAATAAGTACCATTAGCAAGAGTAACACTACGTGTGGAAGTAGCAGACTGATAAGTAGAAAAAACATTAGACACGTCAATCATGTGATCAGAAACGTCAGAGTCTATGATACAAGAGACTGCGAGTGGACAATAAACAAGTGAAAGCAATACTTGACAGGGCAAAAATAGCAATAGAAGGAGATGGGACAGCCTGTTACTGGAACATGGTATCTCGCTTGGGTTCCATAATAGTGCAATAAATAACAAACAAGAAATGTTNTAGACACGTCAATCATGTGATCAGAAGCGTCAGAGTCTATGATACAAGGACTGCGAGTGGACAATAAACAAGTGAAAGCAATACTTGACAGGGCAAAAATAGCAATGGAAGGAGATGGGACAGCCTGTTACTGAGACATGGTATCTCGCTTGGGTTCCATAATAGTGCAATAAATAACAAACAAGAAATGTTACAATGCTGAACCAGAGGAAAGGAGAGGGCACTGGACTGATGAACCGGAGTAGAAACTAACTGAACCAAGCTGAACCAAAGTAGAAACCAACTGAACCGAGCTGAACCAGTGTAAAAACTAAGTAAACCGGACTACAGAAATGTATTGGACTGCTGAACCGGATTACAGAAACTTACTAGACCTCTGAACTAATCTGTAGAAACTCACTGCTACTTGCTGGAATATTGAACCGGGTGGGACCACTGAACCGGGTTGGAAAATTGGGATAGACCAATGAACTGGGTTGGAAAACCGGCCTAGACCACTAAACCAGGTTGGAAAGCTGGGCTGGACCACTGAACCGGACCAGTTGGGCTCTCTAGACTGCTAAACCGAACCGGCTAGGCTCTCTGTACTACTGAACCGGCCTGAACCAGTCTGAAGATGAACCGAGATTGCTCCAGTCTAAGCTGAACCGTGGGCTAGATCGGGATTAGACTTAAAAACAAATTTTAAAAAAAAATTGGGCTTGACCCGAACTGATCTAGACCCGACTCCACGGGTTGGATCCCTTCTTCTTCGCTTATTAGGGTTCCAAGAGAACCCTCTGGTCTTCGACAACTCCACACACCACACGCCACACGCTGAAGACTACAACAACACCTCCTCAACCACCACAGACCACAGCCACCACAACCACACCACTATCTCGAAGGATGCGACTCAACGGTGAACAGAGGCCACACCACCACCACCAACGATTACACCACCACACCAACAGGGACCACCACAACAACACAACCACCACGAACAACGCAGGGACCACTACAACAACAACACCACCACGAACAACGCAGGGACAATGAACAAAGACCACACCAGTGTTAATAAATTTAGGATCGTTTATGCTTTGATACCATGTTAAGTTTGAAAAATTAACATAATATTAGAGACAATATTTAGGGAGAAATAGAGAAGGGTTAAAAAACTTAACCTAACTCTTATACATCACTTGTATTTATAGTTAACTCACAATAATAAGAATTACACATACACCCTCTTACTATTAATAATTATACATACTACTCTACTATTCTTAACAAACTTAAAGATTCCAAAAGAAAATGCACTGGCACAAGCGTATATGATATTAGTGTTGGGCCTTAAGTGGTTAGTTAATGAAGTCTCTCACCCATTGAATTTCCCAATTTATCTGTTTGATTGGTTGGTTTGTTAACCCACATTTGAGTCTTGATTTTATGTGAGGGAGTTTGTAAAGAGAGATTGTATTACAAACCAAAAGATTAGAGAACCCAAGGTTGTTTTACATGGTTAGGAACCTTTCACCCATCACCAATTGGTTGAGTCAAGACACCTCTAAAATGATATAAGAGTTGGGTGTTGTGTGGCCATGGACCACATCTCTCACCTAATTGAGTTTTTTGATATGATTGTATGTATATTTGGTTTAGTTTGTTAGCCCATGTCTGAGCCTAAGTCTCGTGTGAGGGAGTGTGAATAGAGCTTATTTGTCACATGGAAAGAATAAGACCTCCCNGCGTATATGATATTAGTGTTGGGCCTTAAGTGGTTAGTTAATGAAGTCTCTCACCCATTGAATTTCCCAATTTATCTGTTTGTTTGGTTGGTTTGTTAACCCACATTTGAGTCTTGATTTTATGTGAGGGAGTTTGTAAAGAGAGATTGTATTACAAACCAAAAGATTAGAGAACCCAAGGTTGTTTTACATGGTTAGGAACCTTTCACCCATCACCAATTGGTTGAGTCAAGACACCTCTAAAATGAGATAAGAGTTGGGTGTTGTGTGGCCATGGACCACATCTCTCACCTAATTGAGTTTTTTGATATGATTGTATGTATATTTGGTTTAGTTTGTTAGCCCATGTCTGAGCCTAAGTCTCGTGTGAGGGAGTGTGAATAGAGCTTATTTGTCACATGGAAAGAATAAGACCTCCCAAGATTGATTTATATGGTTGAGGGATCACTCCACTCATTATCAATCAATTTTGGGTTGATAATGTATAAGTCTTCAGATTGCCAGAAATCATGAGGTTCCTAGTAAAAACATCATTATGCCACTAAATCGGTACCTATTGGAATGTTGAACTTGAAAAACCTAAAAGGCAGAGAGACAAGGGAGCCGGCATCACTCCTTGATTTCAGGCCAGNACCTTTCACCCATCACCAATTGGTTGAGTCAAGACACCTCTAAAATGATATAAGAGTTGGGTGTTGTGTGGCCATGGACCACATCTCTCACCTACTTGAGTTTTTTGATATGATTGTATGTATATTTGGTTTAGTTTGTTAGCCCATGTCTGAGCCTAAGTCTCATGTGAGGGAGTGTGAATAGAGCTTATTTGTCACATGGAAAGAATAAGACCTCCCAAGATTGATTTATATGGTTGAGGGATCACTCCACTCATTATCAATCAATTTTGGGTTGATAATGTATAAGTCTTCAGATTGCCAGAAATCATGAGGTTCCTAGTAAAAACATCATTATGCCACTAAATCGGTACCTATTGGAATGTTGAACTTGAAAAACCTAAGAGGCAGAGAGACAAGGGAGCCGGCATCACTCCTTGATTTCAGGCCAGTATCCACTGATTTCACCACATTGCGAATGAGGGTGTTCAGCCCCTTGAGAGCAAATGTTCTTTTCAATACAAGATCATTTTCAGAGCTTTCACTGAGATGACCAGTAGTCTTGACCCATATTGACAGAGTTACTGAAAGCAAAAGGTTGTTGCCAAAGGGGAGGATGGCTCTGCAATGAGGCTTGCTGAGCTGAGAATAAATATTCAACATGTTTGCAAGTTGGACTTTCGGATATGGAGCATAGAAACAAGATAAAGTGAGAATCCAGATTTTGACATGGAGCTGTTTTGTTATCAAAACTTGCATCAATTTAAACTTGCTTATGTTGATTTTAGAACAATAAAATGATGGAATGCTTTATTTTTTTAATATTTCGTTAGGTTTTAGGCATTGATAGCATTTTGGTAATTTCTATTAAGTGTTATACTGGGATAATAGCCATAGTCCATTGCTTATTACCAATTTCACATTACAAAACTTGAGGTTTTGGTTTTCTCAAATGCAGGGAAGAATGCGGACGATAGGAACAATGAAAATGCAAATCGTGATTGTCTCCACAAGAATATGCTGTGGATGTTATAAGGAAGTCTCCGTTAGTTTGTCTTATTCTATGTTTAGTTTAGATCAATAAGGGCTATAACTAAGGTGTAGAAAATATGTTGGTAAATTAAATATTTCTTGCTGTACTCATAGTACTCGGATCATATTTTTTATTTGAATTTTTAGGTGTTCCAATCCTTCTCTTCCATGAAAATCGACCCTAGCAACCACAAACCACCCCAAACCAACCTTGTTAACTTCTCTTTTCAAGCCTGAATTAAACTTCAAACTTTCACACCTTTTTATGCCTTTCACAAACCCCATTGTTTCAGCTTCTTGTCTTATTTGTTATTTCTTTGCCAGGCTTGGATTCACTTCTCTTCGTTGCATTCTTGTAAAAGTAAGTTCATTTCTTTATATAATAACAAAAAAAAAATTGAGAACATACAAACAAATTCTTTGATTTGCAAAAGCTTGGGAGAACTAGAACCAAGGTCGTAAGGATGATATCCATGAGAATTTAGAATGAAACTATGTCAACTTTACCCACTAATACTAACAACCATTCATTGCGAACCAAAAGAAAGAAAGAAAGCAAGAATGACCACTTTCACAGGATGCTTGGACAAAAGTACCATGCTCCAATCATATGAGGGAATGCATGTGATGCACATGCTATTCAAGATGCAAACCTCTTACATATTTGAAAATATATCGATCAAACTTATGAAATATAAAATAGATACCAAGCATACCACACAAAATGTACTATACAAGCCATTGGGGCACTTCTTCCCTGTAACTGTGCCCTCCTCTCCATAAAGGCCGTCACTATCCCCAGCACCGCCACTGTTGGACATAATAAGGTAAGTACTATGATGCTAGGAAACAAAACTACTAATCTGAATTGGTACCAAGTCTTCAGTTAAAGTTTTGTCAAAGCATTAAGATATTAATAGAATTACTCAATATAACATCAGATATAATAACACAGATATGCTGTCAGCTTTAAATTTGGAAAAAGAAAAGTGCATAAAAAAATAAAGAGAGAGAGAGTGAGAACCACTGATACAATATAAGAACCATGTATGCAGTCTAGGAAAACTTATCAATGTGAGCTTGCAAAAAAATTGGTCCACTATAAATGAAAAATAGAAAGAGACCTTCTATTTTATCATGGATGTTAATATCTAACAAAAATATTATCAAATGACATGTAGCAAAAAATATAGGAGCCATCACGCACCCATATTTTCATATTGTAAAATCTTTCAAGTTTCAGCTGAAGTAATTTTGACATATCTCATAATAAGAGTAAAGTGCTTGAGCTGTCACGCGTGAGATGCTGGTTCCAATTTTGTCAAAGATTTAAATTTAAGAGCATCCACTTCATGCAAAAGATTTGCCAAAGGTAAAGTTTCGGTGGTTGGAGGATTTCCAGCAATAGCCCTGTCTTCTCTGTCCGGCGAATATAGATAGCTTCTTCCCTTAGCTAGTTACAGCTCTTTCGAGCAATCAATCAATCTGTTTATTGCTTCCAAGTAAGTCAGTCACTTCCTGCTAAATGTGGAGCTCTTTTGGGGGTGGACTACACAAGTCTTATGAAAGAAAGCCGAGGACTATACTATAGAATAGCAAAGACTTTCTGGTTGATAAGTCAACAGATGTTCCCCTAGGGTAGACAGAAGAAGTTCTGATTCCTTCTACCACCATTACTTCCTGACTCACTTGCTCAAATGAGAGTTTCAGTACCAGAACTAGTGCCTGCCCATGGAATCACTGCTTTTGCTGCTTGAAAGTTTGTCTAAAAGTCTCAATCTTTCTTAAGTTCTGTAGTACCCCCTGTGAATACTCCGCCGATATGAAAAGTTCTTAATGTTAATTGAATATCCGGTTCTCCAATTGATTGACCTGCAATAATACCTACAACCTCTCCCAATTCGACCAGATTGGCATGAGTAAGACTCCGGCCATAATATAATCGACAAATCCAAAATATACTCCAACAAGTAAAGGGAGTTCAAATAGGTATTGGTTGTACTCGTCAGGTTATGGATCGATTGACAAGTCCAATCCCAATATCTTGATTTCAAGTGGCAACGCATTATGCACCCATATAAATATTATCCGTTAATACACGCCTAATTAATGTTTGGATAAAAATCCTTTCCGGCATCATCCCATTTCAAGGACTCACAAAAATACCTCAGACAGTGCCACAACCTGTTCGACGTACAACAATGTGTTGAGCTACTTCAACAAATTTGCACGTAAGATATCCAGCATTTGATGTTCGTACAACAATATCAACAACCCCTTTACCGGCTCCGTAGCAAGAAATAATATATTCTGTTAAAGAGAGTCCTTTGCGTAAATTGCTTTGAATGGGTAAATCAATCATTTGTCCCTAAGGATCCAACATTAATCCTCTCATACCTACTAATTGATGTACCAAAGATGCATTTCCACTAGCTTCTGAAAAAGACATTATATGGACCGGATTAAAAGGGTCACTCATCCTAAAATTAGGATTCATTTCTTGTCGCAAATATTCACTTGTAGCATACCATATCTCAATGGATTGACCTAATTTTTCTACCGCGTGTACATTCCCATAATGGTGGTGTTTTTTCAAGATGAAACTTTGTTGTTCAGCATCTTGAACTAATTATCCCTTAGTAGGTATTGCTAAAAGATCAAGATTCAAAGTATCGACCGAGTCAGATACAACTCGGCCAAGTCATATCCGCCTCGGCAAGCAGTGATACGATAACGATACACGATACAAGATTACCACGAGTCTACCATGAATCGGTTTTGACTCGGGCCAACTCGATTCAACTCGGACAAACTTGGATTTGACTCGGTCCAACTCGAACAAACTTGGCCGATTTACTTTCAAATCGAATTAATATGCACAACAAAGAAAATGCCAAAAAAAAGGCAAAAAAGAAGAGAAATTAAACCCTAAATCAGACCCCTTTCACTATAATAAATACAAAAGAAACAAGGTAGAACGAATAGATTACAGACCTGAAAATTTGTAGTAAATCTCTCCAATCAGAGACCCTTTTACACTAATTCTTCTTACTTTCCTTCTTCTTTGCGGTAGTAGAGGACCCAAGTACCCCGAGTCACCCAACATGATCGATCAATATCGCAGATCAATTGCAGAAACCCTAGGTTGCTCGACGATCGGACTACTCGAGTAGCAGGAGATCCAGCCTTTACGACGATGAGTCTCGAGTAGCAGAGACCCATCGTCTCTGTGCTCCCTCTCTCTCTCTGCATTTGTCAAAGTCTGAGAGTCGGTGGATTGAGGCTTTGCCTTATGAGACCCAAAAAATTAATTCCCCCCTTTCTTTTTGTTTTTCTGGTTTTGGCCCAAGTTTTTTATTTATATACTTTTTAGTATTTATCATATAATTTAATGAGAACTTAACTTCTTAAGTTTGTTTTGTATATGTATTGATGATTTAATAATTAAATGTACATAATGGAGAAAATACATATAATCATCATACATAAAATACATATACATATAATCGATCCAATCAAATACATTATAAATAATTAAATGAAGAATTTCTTTATAAATAGATTTTCATTTTTAAAGCTATTAAGTTAACCATATATATACACTTATATTTTTTTTTATAATTTTTAAAAATTATAAATTAAATTATATTAACCTTGAATATAGATGATAATAAATATTTTTCGATTGCATCCTTATTATTCTTTTTTGTAATGATTAATGTCTTTTAGGGATATGATGCATTGATGATGATGTTTATATTTATTACAATTTTTTCTATTTTTTTTAAATTTTTTTGAGCCTTCTATATAGTGTTTTGCGCATATTAGTCGATATCGTGCCGCGATGCCGTGACCAATGTGTCTCAGTGGCCCTCGAGTCAAGGACCGATACCGCGACCTTGAACCATGTAAAAGTTCATCAATTCCTAATGAAATGGATGTAGCAGTAGCTTGTTGAAAACCCAGTCTTTACATGATCCAGGATATGTGATGTATATGTCATTCCGAAGTGATCTATTAATCTACTAATAAGTTGTTTCATTACAATTTCGACTATCACTTTATTGTGAAAGACCAGATTGGCCCGTTCTGCCATAAGTACCTCCATATTCTGCTGAGTAGGATTCGACAATGGATTTGAGTCGGTGATTAGAAAACTTCATTTTCTTGATCTTGATTTGCGTAGAAATTTTGAAACTATGGTCCTAGTTGAACCGGAGATCTGCTGCAACATCTAGTTCTCATCATATGCAGCAGGTCTGATGGTTTGCAATTTCGCACTCCAACTTTTGGTGAGTGGAGAAAGGCTGAATGTAGATCCATTTAAACCATTAGAGAGAATCGAATGATTCTCAGTCCTTCCCCGCTCCATAACAGCAACGTCATGTCTAGTCTACCGTCTCAACAGGTATCACAAGTGACATCAAAACCGGATAAACAAATTAATGGCTTTTTTGTCAGGCTGGGGGAATGTAGACCCGTGTGATCATATTTTCAGAAGCTCTTGTTACAGATTCGACAAGATGAAATATTAAAGAATCTTGTGGAAGAAAAAAGCAGCAGCAAAGCAGCAGGGTAAAAAACTCTGTCCTATCGGTTAACTCGTTCAATGGTTTTCCCCCAGTTTTGGTGTTTCCATTTAGAAGCCCCAATCTATAATTCATAAACTCTCGTAAATTCACTATCAAAACTCTCAAGTATTCTAGGTAATTCAAAAAAGGAAATAGGTGAGTAAGAAAAGCCAATGTACTTTTCTTTGCAGCCATCATGTTATGACGGTAACCAACAAAAGAGAAAAAAAATTATCAAAAACTGAAAACTGTAGGGTGTATTAGGATTCTAAAATGTGGGGAAGCTACCTTTAAGAGAAGCAAGAGCACAAGAATCATGAGAAGGAAAAATATGAGCTTGCAAATATTCTAAAAAACAGGCCAAGAGGTACGATATAATGTTATTTAATCCAGAAACCATTACTGGTACGAGTTGCACAACAACTTGAATTAACACTGAAGAAACACCAAATTGGTATATCACGATTGCACATAGTTGAAGCAGGACTGTGTCTATTGTAACAACTAAAATGCAAACTAGTTGGGTGCAGAAGCGAAGATACACATAGCAGTCTTGAAAGATTCAAATTTTGGTTTGGAAATTTGCGAGTAGGGTCCTAAACAAATATGAATCAAATCGGTTTGAGTAGGTGATGCCTGCAATAACCGTGTCATCTGAGTTTCTTATAGATACAACTTATCAACAATAATTGGAGTTCTGAGAAAAATGCAGTTGAGATACAAACACATGTTCAACAGGCACCTGGGAGCCCTAGGTACCTTAGGTCTTGCAGGACGCTTACGGGAGGCCCATCTGAGTACTGGGCTAGCTTGGTGCATGTCTGGATGATTAGGCAGTCACCTAGGAGAGTGACTATCGCCTGGGCGACATATTTGTTAAAAATAAAATGATCCAATTCAAATGGTGGACTCATGTACTTGATTGCACCCCGTATTTATATCATATCTCACAGAATCTAAAAAGAACAAAGAACTTTCTTCACAAAATCACATTTAATGAATAAGAAGAAACTCCAAGCCCCCAAAGATAAAAATGAAAACAAAAGTATCAAAAGTTGCTCTAGTTTCCTTATCCACTTAAAGGTGGAAGCTTCTCATCTCTTGGAGTTTGCTTCAGGTTGTGAGTGTGCCTGCGTGTTTTGGGATCTCGGAGTTTCCCCAAGTTACTCATTTTGAACAGTTTACAGTTGTCATTGATTAACAGTAATTTTGAGGGAAACATTATACACGTTCTGTAATCCGTACTGGTGATTTTGTTCTTGTGAGAATTTTTTTAATCATTTGTTTAAGAAAAAATTTAGACATGGTAGTTGACATAAAGAATCATCAACTGCCTATTGTATTGCATATACAGGGGAAGAAAGTAACAGTTGTAGTTAGTCAGCCGAGTGATGCCTGGTTGCCTACGTGATGAGCCAGGTCTGTCGCTTATGGATCCACAGAATAATCATATTTCAAGCAAAATTTTAGAGTATATATGATAAATATTAANTCTGGTCCTACGTGATGAGCCAGGTCTGTCGCTTATGTATCCACAGAATAATCATATTTCAAGCAAAATTTTAGAGTATATATGATAAATATTAAGCATACCTTTGGATGATGGTACCATTTATAGTTGCAAGAGGAACATATTCATTTCCCACATCTATCTTAGACCAGTGAAAATGAACTCTTCCGCCCCCACCACCGCCGCCACCATAAGGGCCACCATAGCCCCCTACAACAGACAAAGAGGAGTTGTACTCGAGGGTAAGAGCTTGAAGGAAAAGTAGAATTGTCCCACCAGAACCTCCACCAAGTCCACCCATGAGAGTGTCATTACTGTTTCCTGTCTCTGTGACATAGCTTTGACCATCAGCACTCATAGTTCCGTAAATAGTAAGCCTTGAAAGTGGCCATTGATCGGATCCCATCACTGGTGTATACCAAAAATGAAAAAAAATGGTACAATTGTTTAGTTATACAGTCGAAAACCAAGAATGACCAAGCTAAAGTCATCTTTGAAGGTCAACCTGATTGCTTCTTGATCATTTTGAAACATCAAATATGTGTGCATGTCACATAAACAAAAATAAAGAGAACACTTTTAGAAAAAATTACCGATTATCAGAAAAAATTATTAGCACCACAATGCAAATGCAAAGGCATATTACAATGATCACTATTATTGTTGAATCACCAGTCACATACACAGAATAATAGTGTAAGGACATATATTCGAGAAATTATTTATCCGATCTGCTGCATATAAAAACACTTAAACTACAATTTCACAATATAACTACCAGTGAACGGAGATAGCAGTACTATGGCCTACTTAGGAGCAACATGTGGAACTTTGAACCTTTTTGTCAATGTCCTGTCTGCTCAACAATTTAGACCTAGCAACTATAGAGATTGTTGGTTACAAATTCCGATATCTAAATCCATACAGAGATCAGCAAAAGCCCCACACCTTCAGCCCTAATTCCCAGTAGTTACAACTTACAATACATATGATAATCACTCTGCCTTTCGTCATATATTAGCCTTCTTTTGCAGATAATTTGTTGAATGTCATTGCCCAAATATATTCACGTTTGCCATAGAATCTTGAAAACCAAGTAACTTTACAAGATGTTAAGGATTATTTATTCTTCATTATCAAGGCAGTTTTAGAACAACAAAGACCTATATGCATCATGTCTCTTGGCACCTTCACTCCCCTCCTCCAAAACTTTCAACTTTGATTAAGGTAGTCTACCTTCCAATTGCTTCCATAATGATGCACTGTGCAATTGTGCTCGTTTCTTGCCAAGTTTCTAATTTATTCCCTTCTAAAACTCTTTGGTCATACCCCAACAACAGCCTAGTATTCGCTTATGTGGACAAGTTCTATAACAAAGGAAATGGCAGCACTACAGAGAGGCAATGGACTAATTTACTTTCTAGAGACAATTTGTGGGAAATTGCAGGGATATGCTNAACAACAGCCTAGTATTCGCTTGTGTGGACAAGTTCTATAACAAAGGAAATGGCAGCACTACAGAGAAAAATACAGGGCAATGGACTAATTTACTTTCTAGAGACAATTTGTGGGAAATTGCAGGGATATGCTATCATCATCACAATGACACAAACAGACCAAAGCTCAGGTTGTGCTGAATGGAGCAGTGAAAAAGATTGGTCTTCTTGAGATATTCTATCCTCTCTCACTTTGTCAAATGTTTTCTGTACCATATAATGGATGCCACTATTTTATACAACCAGCACCTTTGCAGATGCATCCTTGCCACCTCTATTCTCAATTCTTCGTCCCAGAAATTACTTCAGCAAACCGCCTTATTTTGGCAGTACCAAGCCAACTTTTCTTCACCTTGCCCCAATTTCTAAACTTTATACAGGATAGATAGTGAAATACAGTAGTCCATTCCTAAGCAACCANTTCCCAGAAATTACTTCAGCAAACCGCCTTATTTTGGCAGTACCAAGCCAACTTTTCTTCACCTTGCCCCAACTTCTAAACTTTATACAGGATAGATAGTGAAATACAGTAGTCCATTCCTAAGCAACCAAATTTTTTGCCCCTAATTTGGCATGGAATCATAGAGCATTGGTGTCCAGGAGAAAGACAATTGTAGAACATTCACTTATGGACAAATTGTGATCCAGTAAGGTGAACCCCAACCAGTAAGAACTTGGCATCAAGGCTTGTTGGTTTTGAGCTTATTGATTAGTTAACTTTGGAGATCAAAACTTAATCATCTTTATCTCCATGTGTTAGAGCTTGTCCCGCACGGGAATAGTTAGACTTCCCAAACTAGCATACGATGCCTTTTCCACTCATTGCCAATTGATTTTAAGTTGGAATTGGATGCTTCAACATGGGATCAGATTTCAGAATGATTTGGCCAAGTCTCTATACATTATGACATTTATATAGGAATCGGGTCCCTCTTTATTCAAGCCCTAACGGCACTTTATAGTCTTTATTATATCTCTAATCTATTCTCTGATTCTTCTATCCACCCAGACCTCTCCCCATCCAAGTGGGATTTTGCCCATGAGCAGGAGTGTGTTGACCCACCTATGTATAATAAAACCTCCTAAACAAGTACACGAGCCTTGTGAGCCTCTTTACTCACCAGGCAGTGTAAAAAAAGAACTTGCCATATAAATATAAGCAGTTAAAGCCTTTTCCATGAAGTGGGCCAAGAAAGCTCGCAATCCAAACTTTAATCACCATATCCGGACTGTATCTTTTTTAGTACTCTCTTTTAAACTCTTGGCAGGGTGTTCATGACTGAAGTTTGCTTCTTTATTTTCATTCCTTTCTCTTTTGATGGGAAACTACATTATACTGCATAATAAAAGAATGACAATACATCCTCCCCGTGAAAATACAAAAAGATTAAAATGCAACCAATCGCTACCAGTCTCTACCACACTCTTGGGTTGCATTTGAATATTTCTAGATCTCCTCCTATCATATTCAGATAGCTCATGATTTGAGTCCATACAAAAATCAATGAGAATATAAGCCGGTCCTTACTTGAGGTCATATTTACCTTGTTGCATGAATTCGCTGAGAAGGTACTCAAAATGGTGGTATAATAAAGGGTGAAGAGAAAGATGAAAAGGAAAATTGAAACTGCTAAAAAGGATCTTATTGATATCAACGCAAAAAGGAAGAAGAAACTGGTTTCTATTAGCATTTGAACTTTCAAAAAAAAAAGGTTACACACAGTAGCAGACCTGATTACTTTTTGTTAATATAACTCTGAAGGACCTTACTTTTACTGTAAGAGGTTGTCATTCTTTTCTTTTTCCCTGAAAGTAGAGAGTTCTGTTGAAATGCTTACCGATCATTCCCCCTCCAGCCATACGTCCAGAGGTCTCATTAGGGCCCTCAGTTCCACTTCCCAACTCACAGGGAAGATCAGCACTACCATATTTATTACCACCTTTACTCACTTTCCCATTGAAAAATCCAGAGCCCCCTCTTCCTCCATGTCCAGCACCACCACCAGCTCCATCTGAGTAGTTACCCATGCCAACACCTGTTCTGCAACCTGGGAGTGTCACCATTGAGTAAGAAACTTTCAGACCTATTCCCAGACATTGAAGGCTCACTGTACGTGAAATACAAGGATGAAGGCTCCTTCAATGCCAACATTCAGGGCAGGTACAAGGAAATTTAAAAAGCTAGTAAGACAGAACTACAGAATAGACTTGGAGTTGCACAGGGATGCACTACTCTTGGGGAGTATTACCTAATTCTGATGCAGTTATCATGCCATCAGTGCTGACACTCACTGTCCTGGCCCTGTGAATGTGAATAACACTTCCCTTAATAATGCCATCCACAAATATGTCCTCAACACGGCATATCTGTCAAAAGTTTAACCCCAAATATAAAAATTTAGACTGGAGAACTATGCAGATCAATCAACTAGATGCTTAAATGGGTCAATGTATATATGCATGTAAAAATGATTTTCCTAATGTCTATTTGCAGGGAAATGAAGAACAGCCATCTTTTTCATAAAAATAGTTCTTCATTTTCTCTTTGGATTTTTTTTGGTGGTGGTGGGGGGATTTTTTTTTTTTTTTTGTTGGGGGGGGGGGG